CAAGGTTTTCAGACACTAGAATTATTAAGCACAGAGTATGAAATAAGCAAATCTATTTATGATTAACAAATCAGACAGGGATTAAATATATATATATGTATATAAGGAATAACACACTATAAAAATTACCAAGCGAATGTTAAAAAGAGATAAATAGAATTTATAGAAATTAAGATTTAAATAGTTCATATTAAAAAATATCTTGGTGGATGGATTAAACAACAGAAGAGACATGGTTGAAGGGAGAATTAATGAACTAGAAGATAGATTTAAAGAAATTATTCAGAATGCTGTCCAGCAGGACACAGACAAAGAAAATAAAAAAAACAGATGTTAAGAAGCCTGGATGGTAGAGTGAGAAAGTTTAACATGTGTTTAATTGAGACCTAGAGGGAGAGAATAAAGAGAACTAGGAAAAGGCAACCGGATATTGAGGAATAATGGATGAGAATTCTCAAGAACTGTTGGGAAAGACCATTACTCATTCAGGAGAAATACACACTTAGGTATATCAAAGTCAAACTCTAAAACACACACACATTCACATACACACATGCAGAAATCTTTAAATCAATCACAAAGAAAACACTGCCTACAAAGAAATAGTAATTTGACACACAGCTGACTTCTCAACAGCAAAAATGAAAGCCAAAAGACAATACAAATATATCTCAAAGTGCTAAGAAAACATAATGGTAGGTCAAGAATTCTATAACCACAGAAATATATTTCAAGAATTATGAAGATCTTTCTATCAAATAAAAACTGAGAATTTACCACAAAGAGAAAACCTTCATAATCTGAAGCCTAGGGAAGTAACAGAATGAGTTTTTAAAAATATTTTCACAAAGAAATCACCAGGCCCAAACAGCTTTAGAGTTGACTTCTACCAAAAATCCATGGACCAAATAATTCTAAGCTTATTCAACCTTCAGATGGCTTGAATAACCTTGGTATCAGAACTAGAAAAACCCATAACAAAAAAGGAAAATAACAAGCCAATCTTATTCACGAACATAGGTGCAAAATTCTAAATAAAACGTTAGCATATCAAATCAAAGGGACAGAACATCATCAGGTTGGGAAAATCTCATAAATGCAATGTTGTTTAAATGGTGTAAAGTCAATTAATTTAAATCAACACAATAATTTAAAGGAAATTAAAATTTCAAAATGATGTAGAAAGCATATAATAGTCAACATCCATTTATGACAGCAATAAAAATAAACTATTAGCATGCTAAACAAGGGATCCTCCTTAACCTGAATGAGTATGTACAAAAAGCTAAAGCAAGCATAGCATTTGGTAGATTCATCAATCTCAGTAAGGTGAGTAGGTGATGGTGACAGGAAGAAGATAGAATCAGGGAAGCACTCGGGAAGATCTAAAGAACTTGTAATGTCCTATATCTTAAGCTGGAGTGTGATATAAAACGCTCATTTTATTATTCTCAAAAAAAATTTCAGTTAGATTTTATAAACTTGTACATATACAAAATATTTTATAGCAAAAATATAAAAGAAATTGAAGACAAAATAAAACACAATTCTTACGAAATCCTGTTGAGAGATTCATAGAAAACCATTGCTGAAGATTTCAAGAAACACAATACAGTATTCAAATAAGTTATGTAGCTGGGAGATTTACTGTGCAGTTAGAAGAAAGTACAGATGCTTCCAACATGGCTGAGCTTATGCTATTTGCTAGATAATACTTCAATAACATAAAATGTGAAGAGCGACATTTTGGTGAGTCATCAACTGAAAGATACATAGGAGAAAAGATATCAACAGTCAATAATTTCTTTAACCACAAAATGTTTTGTGGAAACTCAGCAAAATATAGCCACTGATGGAGCTAAGGCTTTGGCTGGAATAAAAATTGAATTCTGGAATGAGGTCATGCTCATAGTTTGCTGTTGTGATTCTTAAAGATTCGTCTCTTTCTGCTCACCGCTCTATATGCACTCTTTATGAATCACAGGATTTGCTGGATGAGGAGACCCCAAAGTTGTGTCAGGTGAGGACTGAGCAGCTTGGGGACAGTGGTAGAATCCTCACCTTCTGTATGGAGACCCAGTACAATTCCCAGACAATGTACCTCAAGCGCAGCCGCCGCCATCTCTCAGTGGAGGCTTGCATATTGCTGTGATGCTGAACAGACTAAGACAGACTAGGAAGAAAGGCCTGGTGATCTGCTGCCTAAAACTCAGTCAATGAAAACCCTGCGGATCACAGTAGTCGGATCCCTTTGTGCATGAAGTCACCATGAGTCAGGGACTGACTCGACAGCAGCTAAGGACGACAACAGTTGGCTTTGCCACCCGACTTCACCCTATCTAGGATAAGGGAAGGGTAATACTGGAGAAACAACTTTTATTTGTAGCACTTACCTGATCTAATCTAAAATACCTTTTCCATATTTAATCTAGGGACCAGTGATTCTACAATTTATGTGTCCTCACTTGGAAGAACTAATGCTCCTAGTTCCTGATAATATGAACAGTGTTTCTTACTGTATTTACATGACTCTGTGAATCCTTGGAAAACTTTAAATAGTGATATCTGGTAGAATCTGATTTTCAACAGTAAGAATTTTCTCTCCCAAAGCAAACAACACCCAATTAAAAGCAAGATGCAATTTACTCATGGGTATTTTTCCTTTGGGGAATTACAAAATTATACAAAATGAGTAGAAAACAATTATCTCAGGCCTTCCATTAAATGCATACTGGTTTTCTAATTCCTTTCATTTGAAGGTGACTGGAGGTTTAGAAATTGAGCTAGTGTGAAAATCTGGAGTATCTTTTGGAGTAGTACTAGTGCTTCTTGGGGAAGGAAAGAACTTGCAAGTTGATTCCTCCTTTGCTCTCTACATTTTCGGGCATTTGTCATTTCGTGGAAACTGTAAGAACGATGATTGGTCTCCCACATGCCCCACTGAAACCTGACAAATCTATTTCTCTACATAGCTGTCAGTTTCTTTTGGGGATCTTCCTTTATCCTCCTATTCCTTTTCCTCTCTGGTAATATTTAAGCCTACTTTGGGGTAGTGCAGGACTGATGGGCTATTATTGCTACCAGAGGGGGTTAAGTTCCCATGCTCTTCTGCTGCTTGAAGAACCAGCACAGCCATGATGATTTTCTCTGTTTTGTATTCTTGGGCAGGGTAGTGGACTCCTTAATATGGGCCACAGCTGGGCTCTTTCTCACAGTCTCCTGAGCTCCACACAAATGACGTTCAATTGCCCGGGGACTCACTAATCTATGCTTTGTTGTACCACCACCTCTCCCTACCTCCATCAGTAGACTTCTTTCTGAAGAGCCATTTTTAACTTGACCTAACCTATCCAACCAGGTTCACTTACCACAAAGTCTCACCTCTACCACCCACACTAAATATAGTTCTTTAAAAAGCTTTGCTTTGTATAAGTTTGGGACTTTGAATTAGTAGTATTCTCTAGAATGCCTCTTCCTTGTCCGCTGTTTGCATTGACTCATTCATTAATGAACATAGTTAAACATTTATCGAATCCCTGCTGTTTCTGGCAAAGGAATGTACTAGGGGATAAAATGGTGAACAAAGTACACACAGTCTGTACTCATGGAGCCTGCACTTCTCTGCTTGCACACTCTCTCATCCTTCCAGATTCAAAAACGTCTTTACCTCAGACGTTCTCCCCATGACACCCCCAGACTAAGCTATTGCTCCCTCTTCTGAAAGGCTTGGCCTCTGTGCATGCCTTTGTTGTGGTATTTATGTCACACTTATTACTTTAAGCCCATCTTCCCCACTGGACTCAGTAAGGAGTAGATCTTTGCATCAATAGACCTTCTTATAATGCCTAGGACAATGTTGAATAGCAAATCAATTTGAAAGGCTTTGACTCAACATTTAGGCATCGTGCCAGGAGGCAGTGTTTCTAAAGATGATCACAAGGAAGTTACTGAGTGTACCTCTATTCTTTCTGCTTAGATTTGCCGACTTCAAAACAGTTTTAAAAGACCATTTCTACTGTACTCTTTGGTAATATATCTGACAAACTGTTGAATTTCTGTGTTTTAAAAGAACTACTTCTATTCCTAAAGAGGGTAGTATTTTCCTCAATATATATGCAATTCCCATCCTTAGAAACCCTTAATGTATACTGCAGCTAACGGTTTAAAACTTATCTTTATATTTGCTTTCTCTTTACATAGAAATTGCTCTTTGCTTTAAGATTTCTGTAAATAATGAGAGTTTTTTTGTTTTTCCTGTTGAGTTGTATGCTAATGAATTATTGCCTGAGGAAGGAACATATGTCCTGCTCGCCTATCCCTAATGCCATGGTTCCCGTAGGACTATTTCTATACAGGATTATTTTTCAGTGGTCTCCAGATATATTGTTCCCAAAGCAACCTCGTATTTTTTTTTTAATATATTGATTTTTTCAGGGAAAATGAGTTCTATGGGATAGTCTACAAAGGTTTTGCTTTTTTCTTTTAACATCTAGAATGGCTAAAACAACAGCTCCTCCACCTGCATTTGACAGTAGCAATTTATAAAACCCTGGATTGAATTTTTTTAGTGGCAATGGCGACATTTAAGATAACTGGACTTGTAATCACACAAATAGGAGTCTTTCTAAGTTCATAACCTGGAAGAACTGAGGCTACTCCTGATGAAAATCAGGCTATTTGGCCAGCAAGCTTTTTAAGAATAATATCAAACAACAATCTGGGGCTAGAAACTACAGATGCTAACTGCCATCACCATAATCCCAGTACAAGAAGAAAATAATGATACTAGTTTCCAGAGCCTAAAATGGTTCCAATCAGGGTGTTAATTTCAGTCTATCCATAAAAGCTTAACAAATCATTGCACTATGTTTTGACCTAGGCAAGCAAAATACTTTATAGACAAGGAAGCAAGTAGTAAAGGTTTTAAAACGTACACCAATCTAACTGTATCTCTAATATATAATTTCATGTATAAGTATTTAGAATAAAATTTAATGTACCTTTTCCAATTCTGTCCTGCTTGTAATTTTCTCAGCATCGTTACAGTTTCTGAAAAATAAATTCACCCAGTTATAATTTTGTTAAAATGTGATTTGGAAAATCCTAATCAAAATGTCAGCATTCTTTACCCTGGAAGTGGTTTTGCTTTCTCTATCTTCTCATTTATTTCGTGTCCATTAACACTTTCTGCCAAACATTAAACAAAAAGAAAATAATTTAAATAAGAGGTTATCATTGGGTGTATGTGTGTGTGAGAAAATGGGAGCAGTACTAGAAAAGGAAAATAAATTCATCTTGTATTTAACATTCATCTTAACAAAGTATCTTATAAACACAAATATTCCCTCCACGTTTTTTCACTGCCTCAGAGCAGTACATCAGAGCCAGAAATAATCACAGTAAAATCTGATGCTGCATCCAAACACAATGAAGGATTTAAAGATTCCCAACAGTATGCAGAGAGGTCATTTCAGGATAGGAAAGCGTAACCTGAAGGTCTGCTGATAAAGACACGAGAGAGAATTCCATCAGAGTGCTGGAGGATGATAAAAAGTCATCCCTTCTCTTTTGCCAGAGAATATAAAATCAACCATTAGTTAAAAGTGAAATATTCATGTAACATCGTCTTATATAAATATTGGAAAATATAGAAAGAGGAAGATTCAATCACATTGTGTATGAAGAGTTCATTCAAAATTTCGCCAAGAATTCTTGAGTTTATGCCTATTGCCCAAAAATGACTAGACCCCACTGTGGCCATATCAATACATGATACCATCAAGTTCCAGTCCTTGGTTGGTATTTCCATCAATACAAGCTATCTGAGTGGTCTCGACCTCTGCTTCAGCGCTGATGATCTGCTGTGCCACAGCCTCCACGATGGGCATCACCATGGCAGCAGTAGAAGTGTTGCTGAGCCACATAGATAAGAAGGCAGTACTGATCATGAACCCCAGCGTCAGCCTGAAAGGACACAGAGAGCCTTTAGTGCGGAGCTGTGCTCTCTGGGTTAATTAGCTCTGTATTATTTAGCTGTAAAGGATGTTCTCTGTGAGCTGGGAACTTTTTTTGCTACACAGAAGGTTAAAGTTCACCTGGATGACGAGCTCCAGGTATAGTCAAAGCCTTGTAGAAATTAAAGTGGTACATGTAAGAGTGGAGTTCTTAAGAGATTTGTCTCATCAGGAACCATAATAGCCTTATTCAGAAAATGGAAAATTGATTAAACTGATAACCAAACTGCAAGGTGGTATATGGGTATAATAGCACGTAACACTATGCCACTATTTAAGTGCTCTTTAGAGATTACCGCTTACCTTTATACACTAATAACATGAAAGTGTGATCAGCTTTTGAATTTAGGGTTCTTTATTCTTTCTTTTATCTTTTGGCCATATCTCTGTTTGTCAGTTTGTATGCCAAAGAGGCACAAGGACAAGGAGAGAGATTAATATTTATAAATCTGCCTTTTACTAATTTACTACTATTGTTCAATATATGTTGGAGGAAATTGTTAAAATTACTAGCTAAAATGATGTTTCAGAATTTTCTGTAGATCCTATTATTTATGCTCCTCTAAATGTGACATTCCTGCCTGTTCTCAAGAACTGGATATATTACATTACCTTCTATTATAAATAGAGTAGTTCTTCTTCTTTAAAAATAGCATACCTAAGGCTATCAGAGTTTAAACCATCTCTATAAACTTCCAAAATCACACTTGGGAGAAACTATGATCTCTCTCAAGTAGGAGGTCCCAGAAAATCATTCAGAAGCACATCGTTCCATAGAGAACCATTGATGAAATTTTCCGACTCTCTTTTAAAACATATCTAAAAAAAATTCCACACTGTAAGTTGAAAATTCAGAGAAGGTGAATATTTTCTACATGACAGACAACATAAATGAAAACTTTTTAGGAATTTGTTTAAACAAAAAAATTGATTCTTAGTAAGAGGAAAACTAGAAACACTTTTAAGTCATTGGCAGGACTCAAAAACCTCCTGTCGTAGTCATCTAGTGTTGCTGTAACAGAATACCACAAGTGAATGTCTTCAACAAAGAGAAATTTATTTCTTCACAGTAAAGTAGGCTAAAAGTCCAAATTCAGGGCGTCAGCTCCAGCGGAAGGCTTTCTCTCTCTGTCGGCCTTCTCCTCAATCTTCTCCTGCACGAGGAGCTTCTCCGTGTGGCGACCCCGGGTCCAAAAAGACACACTCTGCTCATGGCACTGCTTTCTTGGTGATACGAAGTTCCCCTGTCTCTCTGCTGGCTTCTCTCTTTTATATCTCAAGAGATTGCCTCAAAACACAATCCAATCTTGTAGACTGAGTCCTGTCTCACTAACTCAACTGCTGACCATCCTCCCGCATTAATATCATGGAGGCGGGATTTGCAACATATAGGAAAATCACACAATACCGGGAATCATGGCCCAGCCAAATTGATACACACATTTTTGGGGGGACATAATTCAATCCATGACACCTCCTATAAATAAAAGTTGGGATACAGATAAAGCTTCCGTGTGATGAAAATGCCTTAAATTGAAAAGCCATTTAGTCACATAATGGACAGTACTCTTGTGTCACTGTGCAGTGCACTACCCTACTGGGGTCAGTGAATACGTGAGCAGAGGGTCCAAGAAAAGGGACGCATTTCTATAGCACCCCAAGGGATATGGAACACTATTGCATTTTAAGAATGAAATGTTCTCAATAAGTTCATGCTTTCAAATTTTTAAGTAACAAAAATGAACAAAAAGCACTTCGTCTCATCTGAGTTATTTAAATCTTTTTTTTTTGCTTTGCTTTTGTCTTCAGCAAAAGAATTGGTTCCATAAATGATAAACACAGATGTGGCTATATGAATTATGCAATGGAGTTCAGTACAGTTTTCTTATTTTCAAAGAAAGATGAGAAGGGAAGGACCAGCTAAGTCTTTAAAAGCATAATGCCATTATGCAAAGAATTATGACCCTAGACATTTTCTTCAGCTCACATCCATGTTCTGAACAAGAGGTGGCCTATGTACATAAGACCAAAACAACTAATGAAAAAAAATATATAACTTCATCAGTGGGGAAAATTAGTCAAATGAGTGATGTCACATTCTACAGAGGAAACTTCTTAATTGATTGTTTCACTTTGCAACAGTTGATTTAAAAAAGAAAAATGTTCACGTTGGAATTTTTCTGCCCACATTTGTATTTTGCCAGTAATGTCTTCGTCTTTGGTTCTTAACATCCTTCCTGATGATCAAGGATGCTCTTGAACAAGTCTTGAATGTGTAATCAGCTAAATAAACAAGACAGGGCTGAAATCTACTCTGAAGTCTATCAATCTTGTCTGTTGAGGTTCAAGGCTTATCTCAGCTTTGACTCCCATGGTGCATAAAAGGTGAGAGAGTTGTGTGCCCTCATTCCAATCTCCCTGTAATTAGACCTGCAGTGAAAGGAAAGTTGTTTTTTTCCCTCCTACAACTCAAGTACACTTTATATCACTTTATTTTTGCAGAGTGAAAAAAAAAAAAAAAGGCATGAATTATACTGTGATACAAATAATTCCCTAGATGTGCATTACTGATTTGGCTATTTGCTCTGCACAAAATGGGAGTAGCAAATGCGGCGCTTACCATGCCAGGTTCACACCCACCATCATCACCATCTTCAGAGCAATCCTCTTGTGTAAATTCCATTTTTCAATTGATGTTGCTAAACAGATGACTCCAATTAGCAGCAGGTGAAAATCTTTGAAATAAGAAGATGCCACCTGAAATTACAATTAAACCCCTGCTTATTTACATTGGTGGGGAAAAAATAACATTGCACAAGAAAGACAGTATTACGCCGCTCTTAACTTTGACCTTCAACTACATAATCTCTCTATTTTGTTCAGAGAAATGTCCATGAGTCTGAATACGAATTTCAATATGCTTTGTATTCTTACCAGAAATAGCAGTACTAAGGAAAAATGTACAGAACGAGGAGGACACAAGACACTGGGTTTTTTAAGAGCTGAAGAACACCTGGCAAGTGTCTTATATGCCTTAATTTCTGTCTCTGTAAACTGGGATGAATTGATTTACACACTTAGGGTGGAATGGCAGTTACTGTGATTTAGAAAACTCCTGAACCACGCCTCAAATCCAAAATGTCTTCCTCACCACCCATTATGCCATAACTGCAAAGTCATCCCTTCATATTTTGAATGCTTTTACCTTTATTATAAAGCAAATCCTCTTGCTTAGGGGCCTATATTTTACGCCATTTTCTACTAATACTTTTCAGAGATGAGTTAAGTGTTCAGACACTTTGAGCAACCATTTACAACAGTGTTTCCCAAAGAATGCTCTGAAGTATGTTAAGTACATAAACTCTTTTTCAAGGAAAGGATTTTTTTTTTATTTATTTTTTATTGTACTTTGGATGAAGATTTACAGAACTGTTTCTCATTAAACAGTTAGTACACATAATGTTTTATGACATTGGTTAACAACCCCACGATATGTCAACACTCTCCTTTCTGGACCTTGGGTTCCCTATTACCAGCTTTCCTGTCCCCTCCTGCCTTCTAGTCCTTGTCCTGGGCTGTTGTGCCCCATTAGTCTCATTTTGTTTTATGGGGCTGTCTAATCTTTGGTTGAAAGGTGAACCTCAGGAGTGACTTCATTACTGAGCTAAAAGGGTGTCCGGGGGCCATACTCTCAGGGTTTCTCCAGTCTCTGTCAGGCCAGTAAGTCAAGTCTTTTTTTTTTGTGAGTTAGAATTTTGTTCTACATTTTTCTCCAACTCTGTCTGGGACCCTCTGTTGTGATCCCTGTCAGAGCAGTCAGTGGTGGTAGCCGGGCACCATCTAGTTGTACTGGACTCAGTCTGGTGGAGGCCATGGTAGTTGTGGTCCATTGGTCCTTTGGACTGAGCCTTCCCTTGTATCTTATTCTCTTCATTCTCCCTTGCTCCTGAAGGAGTGAGACCAGTGGAGTATCTTAGATGGCCACTCACAGGCTTTTAAAACCCCAGACGCTACTCACCAATGTAGAATGTAGAACATTTTCTTTATAAACTGTGTTATGCCAATTGAGCTAGATGTTCCCAAGACCTTGGTCCCCACAGCCCTCAGCCCAGCAATTCAGTCCCTCAGGGAATTTGGAAGAGTCTATGGAGCTTCCATGACCTTGTCTTGTACAAGTTGTGCTGGCTTCCCCAGTATTGTGTACTGTCTTACCCTTCACCAAAGTTACCACTTATCTATTGTCTATTTATGTTTCCCCAAGCCTCTCCTCCCCTCCGTTGTAACCATCAAAGATTGTTTCTTTTTGTGTGTAAACTGTTTCATGAGTTTTTATAGCAGTGATTTCATACAATATTTGTCTTTTTGTGATTGACTTATTTCCCTCAGCATAATGCTCTCCAGATTCAATCATGTTATGAGATGCTTTGCAGATTCATCATTGTTGCAAAGAAAGGATTTTGTGTTCAGATAAGTTTGTAAAACAGAGAGTTTTGCAATAATAAAATTTTCTTTCCTACATGTCTTCTCACAACCTTTACCATACTAATATTTATTTTCAGTTTCAAAGAGGGAGGTATCGTATACTGTATATTTTAGAAACTTATTTAATCATAAAAATCTTATTTAAAAAAATTTGTAGTGCTACCTCATGGGAAAAGGACCCTGGTGACAGTGGTTAAGTGCTAGGCTGCTAACCGTACGGTTGGCAGTTTCAACCCACCAGCAGCTCCACAGTAGAAAGACGCGGTAGTCTGCTTCCATAAAGATTCATCCTGATGTGTTGTTGAGTTGATTCCAATAGCGACCCTATAGGATAGAGTAGAACTGCCCACAGGGGTTTCCTTTGCAGGAACAGATCACCAGGTCTTTTTCTTGTGGAGCCACTGGGTGGTTTTGAAACGCCAACCTTTCAGTTAACAGCTGTGTAACTAACCACTGCACCACTAGGGCTCTTCTGTAAAGATTACAGGCTTAGAAACCCTATGGGGCAGTTATACTATGTCCTATAGGGTTGCTATGAGTCGGAATTGACTCCACGGCAAGGGTTTTCTTTTTTTACCTCGTGGGACTGGTATTCAAGAGAACAGACTTTAGGAAATGCTTGTTATTGTTGTTAGGTGCTGTTGAGTCAGTTACAACTCACAATGATCCTATGTACAACGGAACAAAACACTGCCTGGTCCTGCCCCACCCTCACAATGGTTTGAACCCATTTTTGTAGCTACTATGTCAATCCGTCTCATTGAGGGGCTTCCTCATTTTTGGTGACCCTCTACTTTACCAAGAATAATGTCCTTCTCCAGGGACTGGTCTCTCCTGATAATATGTCCAAAGTATATGAGACAAAGTCTCACCATCCTTGCTTCTAATGAGCATTCTGGCTGTACTTCTTCCAAGACAGATTTGTTCATTCTTCTGGCAGTCTATGGTATATTCAATATTCTTCACTAATACCATGATTTAAAAGCATCAATTCTTCTTTGGTTTTCCTTATTCATTGCCCAGCTTTTGCATGCATATGAGGCAACTGAAAACACCATGGCTTGGGTCAGGCGCACTTTAGTCCTCAAAGTGACATCTTTGCTTTTGAATACTTTAAAGAGGTCTTTTGCAGCAGATTTGCCCAATGTCATGTGTCGTTTGATGTTTTTTTTTAATTTTTTTATTCTACTTCAGATGAAGGTTTACAGAACAAATAGTTTCTCATTAAACAGTCAGTACACATATTGTTTTATGACACTGGTTAACAACCCCATGACATGCGAACACTCTTCCTTCTCGACCTTGGAAGACCTTTTTTTCCTATGGTGAAAATATATATGGCCAAAGTTACACCATTTCAAAAATTTCTACATGTACAATTCAGTGACAACTTTGATTTCTTGACTACCGCTTCCATGGGCATTGATTGTGAATGCAAGTAAAATGGAATTCTGGACAACTTCAATCTTTTCTCCATTTATCATGATGTTGCTTATTGGTCCAGTTGTGAGGATTTTTGTTTGCTTTATGTTGAGGTGTAATCCATACCGAAGGCAGTAGTCTTTGATCTCCATCAGTAAGTGCTTCAAGTCCTCTTCACCTTCAGCAAGAAAGTTTGTGCCATCTGTATATCTCAGGTTGTTAATGAGTCTTCCTCCAATCCTGATGCTGTGTTCTTCTTCATATAGTCCAGCTTCTCGGATTATTTGCTCAGCATACAGATTGAATAAGTATGGTGAAATGATACAACCCTGATGCACACCTTTCTTGGCTTTAAACCACGTACTATCCCTTTGTTATGTTCAAATGACTGTCTCTTGGTCTAAGCACAGGTTCCTTATGAGTAAAATTAAGTGTTCTGGGATCCTTATTCTTTGCAATTTTATCCATAATTTGTTATGATCCACACAGTCGAATGCCTTTGCACAGTCAATAAAACACAGGTAAACATCTTTCCGGTGTTCTCTGCTTTCAGCCAGGATCCATCCGACATCAGCAATGATATCCCTGGTTCCATGTCCTCTTCTGAATCCGGCTTTAATTTCTGGCAGTTCCCTGTCAATGTACAGCTGCAACCATTTTTTAATGATCTTCAGCAAAATTTTACTTGTATGTGATATTAATGATATTGTTCGATAATTTCCACATTCTGTTGGATCAACTTTCTTTGTAATGGGTACAAATATCGATCTCTTCCAGTCAGCTGTCTTCCAAATTTCTTGGCATAGACAGATGAGTGCTTCCAGCACTGCATCCGTTTGTTGAAACATCTCAATTGGAAATACTTGGATAGACTGAATCACAAGACTATGCAGAAAGAGTGATTGTAAGAGGAAATACCCTTTAAAAACAAAAAAACTATGTCTAGTAGAAAAAATAGAAGAGTTGGAACAAAACAACTCTAATGTTATAGATCCATGGAGAAAAAGGAAAAACAATTCTGATGGTGACTTTGTTATTTTAAACTGTACCTATATTTTTAATACAACTTACTAAGCTTGGCTTGGTTTCAATAAAAAGTAAAAATTGATAATCACCCTTGAAATAAAAAGCTGAGCAGTGGACAATTTTATGTTTTATAAAATGTTAATTTATCATGTTTTTCAAAGTTTATATTATCTCTTTACATTTTGTAGTAATCGGGTAATGGAAAAATAAATAATTGCATCAATTTCTTTATTATTTCATTTAGTAAGTATTTTAACATTGAATAAGCATCTACCATGCACCAAACCCTCTTACAGAAGTGGAGGATGCAGGAATAAATGCCTGACATGTTTTTCCCTGGTATTTTTACCCAATTGGACACCTCTTCAATTCTCAAGGATCAGGATTTTCTAAATACATCATACTATTTTTCTGTATCGCAGAGCCCTGTTTGTTTTCTTCATAGTGTATCACATTACGTAAATATTATTTGTTTAACTGGTTATTGCCTATCCTCCCTATTTGACTACACATTTTGTGAGGACCAGCGCTCTGTTTTGCTCACCACCACATATTCGGCACCTAGCACAGTGTTGGCATAGAGCAGGAGCTCAGTAAATAGTATTAAATGAATGATGGTGGGAGTGAGGGAGTCAATGAATAAGCTATCGTCTCTGAATTCTTAAATCCCAGGTGTCCACACTGTCTCCAACCTCCTATTCCCCTCTCTCAACCCTTGCTCTTGATATAAGTATTCTTTCCATTTACTGGTGCCTCCAGACTTGTGAACCGTTTTCTCCCTCCCTGGTTCTACCCCCTGCCTCTCTGAATGTTCCTTCTCAGCCTGC